CATAAGAGCCAACTGATCTCAGAGACCTGTTATTTCAATATAGAAATCTTAAATAGACAGATCCCGTTGACAAGCTCCGTGAATAGCTGTTTCCAACTCATACCGTTTGTCAAAGTTGGACTGTTGATAAACACTTTTTAAGTAATCCCACACCTCTTTGGCAGTGCTATATTTAGAGAACATCATCCTGATACGGTCATCCGCAGAGTTGTGGAACCAGGTCAAAACTTGAGCATTATCACAATCCCAAGAGTCACAGGCAATTAGATATTCGTCTTGTTTGGGATCCAATGGGTGAGGAACAAAACCAGAAACATATCCCTATTTTTTTCGGCCGAGAAGAAAATTTCTCATAACACTAGACCAATAAGCATAGTTGTCACCTGTAAGATTGCACTTAATAGCTTGAATTTTATCTTCCGACATTGTAATGAATCAGAAATAAAAGAGAAGGGAACTGATGGGGCAAACAGATAAAACCTAATAAATCTGGGGGTCAAACCGTAATAACTCAAAGTTGAGACAGAGGGGTCAAATACTGGCGGACTAAAATCAGAAAATAGAGAGTAGAAACTAGAGACCAGAGACTAGAGAGAGAACCAAAGCCTATACACAATCATGCCTATAATATGTACAATCACAATCATGCCAAATATAGAATATACACATATATTGTCACAGTAGCAGCAGAATCAATAATCTAAGGGAATGAAGAGACAACACTCAAGGCATGTGTAGTAGTAACTGTGGAAGCAAAGTGGGAGGAAAGAGGATCAGAAGTAGGTGTAGGAGCAGAAGCAGAAGCAGAATCAAGCCTAGCCATTAGACATTGAAGAGTATGTAACTCATCTTGGGAAAAAACTGCAGGATCGCCCAAAGTACTAGTAGAGGATTCTGACAGGTGTGCATGAGAGCGAACAGTCCCATCGCGGCCACTAGTACCACCATGGCCACTATCTTTCCTGTGGTTAGGTCGATCATGTAACTTCTAGCAGTGTTCTTGATCATGCCGTTCTTTCCCACAATAATAACAGATAATTTGATCACCAGCACTAAAAGGCCCTTTACCCCTAGATGGAGACCGACCAAATTTCATGTCCTTGGGAATATAAGAAATAACTAGAGCAGACCGGTCTTGAAGAGGCCGATGAACTATAGCACTTCGCTGGCTTTCTTCTTGTAGAACATAAGCATAGGCCTCCATACAGTAGGAAACAACTGGTGACCGAGAACCTGAACACGAATCTAATTAAATTCCAAATTGAGACCAGCAAGGAAGTCATAGACCTGCTCCTTGGACACCATTCGCTGAAGGTAACGGCATCTTGAAAACAGATAGCTTGGAAGTTCTGATAATAATCAAGTTCTTGCCGCAAATTGCTCAACTCAGCAAGAGACCTATCCTTCTAATCAAACCCCCGAATCTTTTTCCGTAGTTCATATGCTTGGGCATCATTACCTCGTTGAGAATACATCTGAGAGGTGGCAGTCCAAATCTGATGAGCAGTATCCATCAACACAAAGGGCTGGCTAATGGTGGGGTGGATGGAATTGATTAACGAAGTCATAACAAGTGCATTCTCCTTATACCATTTGTCATGTACTGGTCCATCCGCGCTAGGAACCTTAGTAACTCCAGTTATGTAACCCAATATACCACGAGCAGTAATGACCAACTGAAAGGAACGTGACCAAACCAGATAGTTGGTGCCATCTAACTTGACAGAAGTCAGATGAAGAGAAGAGTTATCACCCAGAGGTACAATAGGACCTAACCCTTTTGCTTCACTGGTTACAGGGTTCTTGTTATCATCAACCATGGACTAAGAACACAACTATACCAAAAAAATAGAGAGGAAGGTGGACCAACCCCAACAAACCACAAAACCAGTCCCACGAGACCAAAACAGCCCAGAAAAAGCAAAATAGTGTGGTAGAGGGTAGAAAAAACACTCGTAACTGGACTTGGAGACCAAAAAACAAACCCGAAGCAACAACCGAAGCCAAGGAAGGCTAGAGAGGGTCTAGTCAGCCCCTAGGGATTAGGACCCAAGCCACGAATCGAGCAATAACCTCACAGAACAAGCAGATCAAAAAATAGGGTCGATTTTTTTCCAAAAATAGAGAAAAATTCGAAAAATAGGCAACAAACATTAGAAAAAATTTGAATTTTTTTTTGGGAAATCTTGAGCCCTAGTCGAGCATCCTGGATTTTTATTTTTATTTTTATTTTTTTATTTTTTACATTATCAAATAAAAAAAGAAGAAGAATGAACAAGAAAAAGGAAGAACAGAAGATTACCACTTCACAGCTCTGATACCAAGTTAAAATTACATGAACAAGTTTAAGAGTGAGAGGAGAAGAGAAAAATAAAAGAGAGAATTATTATTCGGTAGGAAGAGGCACAAAACCTTAGATTAGGTTTTCCTCCATAGCAATATGTATTTATACTAATCAAATAAGTACATAAAGACAAAACTACCTTTCATCTAGCTTAACACAAATCATACTCTAATTCCTATCATGACTCAACTTGGACTTCTAATATTATTTACAACTCAGATAGATAATTACAAATTAAATAGGTTTTATCTAAGGGATTGACAAATCAAGCTAGAATAAAATTCTTGCACTAACAAGAACAGTTAAGATTTTTGCTAAGTTGGCTCACAAAAATCAAATTAAATGGAAAGCAGGGAATATAAAGAAGAAAAGACAAAGAAAGGGAAAAAGGAAGTCGCACTGCTCCTATTCCCTGAATAGAAGTGTGAGAACCATCTGCTAAGATGACACGAGGTAAAGATGAGAAAAAAATGTGAGATATACCTGATATATAATCTGTGGCTCTAGGATCAATAACCCATTGACATGGGAAAGTGAAAGACACAAAATAAGCAGTTGAAATACCTTTCCAATCTAAAGATGCAACTGAAAGGGATGCCTACAAAAATGCTTGATACTGAATAAACTTAGAATACTCTTCTTCGGTGACAACCATTGTCTTCTCCTCAACATGAGAACCTCTACCATGGCCTCCTGACTATAACAAGAGTTACCACCACCTTGATGGCTAGAACCACCTTTGCCACCACTGTAGCCACTATACTGATTACCCTTAGAACTACCACCGTAGCCACTATACTGACTACCCTTGCCACGTGAAGATTGTTGCATAACTAGGGCGTAGTGATCTAGAGTACAAGTTGCAAAACTTAGAGAACAGTCTTGACAAGTAGCACATAAGACTCTAAAACTACTGTCTTGACAAGTAGCACATAGGGCTCTAAAATATACTTCGGCGAGGGGCAAAATCTCAACAATGACTAAAATCTGAAATTAAACCGACTCAAATCCTCCGTTGTTGCATTTTTCAGATATCATTAGTAATTGGGAGAACCACATTTAACTCTATGAATCCGATGGAGTGCGGCAAAATAATCTGTAACTGATTTGTCAATTTGCAGCTACTGGACGTAATCAACAGACAATTCACACATACAGTAAGGTTACTAGAATATAACATGTGGACATACTTTTAAATTTCCTTACAAGTATTGAGATGGGTACTCATATCATCAATCTTGTGTTCCATATAATTTTATAACAGAAGTTAACAAGTGCAGCATCCTCTTGTCCCCATTTCCTGCTTCTTTTGCTCATCCGACACGGTAGACTGATGGGGTAGACTCTATAAGATGGCGATGTCTTCCCTGACCTGTTAAAGAAACCTTTACAGCCTTGGACCAATGTAAATAATTAATCTCATTCAACTTGAAGTGGTAAGTTGCAGATGAGTAGAAGAAAATGTGGAGGAATCCATAACAAATAAGGATTAACAACATTCTACACACAAATACAATAACGAACTTCCACAGTAACCCTGACCAATTCTTAGCATAATGTTGAGTTTCTATTAACAAGTAAGAGAAACTGAGAAGGCACCATTGTGGAGACTTAGTATGGATTAAAAAAGCAATCTGAACAGAATCTGAACTGGATCGAACTGGGTTGGATCTGAACTGGTTTGAACTGGTTTTGAGTGTGAACTGGGTTGGATTTGAATATCTGGTTGTTCATCGAGATCAAGAGTCTCAGGTCTGGTTGTTTCAGCAGTGTTGATGGAGGTTGCAAGGTCAAGGGAGGTCACGATGATGATGAAGGTCGTGACGATCGCAATGATAACTAATGATGAAAAAGGTTGCACTGACTATTCTGTTGTTTTAATATATTTTATTTAGGAGAATGAAGAGAAGAAAATAAAAAATCAAGAAAAGTAATGTTATCATGATTCCAGGCAAAGCCTGTTTTGACACCATGTTAGGTGAAGAAGAGGAAGATTAGAAGAATGTGAGAGCTTAAACCTTAGGGTTAGCTCCTCTAACTATTTATATTAAATACGTACCAAATTACATTGATTTAAATACCCTCAATAGTCATTTAAACAAGAAAAGAAAATGATAATAAATCATGTAAAATTGCTAATTATAATCGAACTGAGCTATGACTTTTCGGTTCGGTTCGGTTCAGTTGCTAAGGTGTGACAATACGGTTTGCACCTTTAATTAGTATTTTCTCATTTATGGCCTTTAGGCTAACATGGATAATGTTGATTCAGAAAATGAAAATGTTTGCAAGGGACTTCCTGTGGAAACTAATAAACCGAAGTTCATCCACCTTGGGTTGAGAAAATTAAGCAGTTAAAATGATTTATTTATTTTTTGAATAATAGTAGTCGACTGTAAACTCCTTTAATCTCTCATTGAAGTTACCAGCTCTTTCACACTAACAGATTCATAGATCTTCTATTGTCTATGGTCTATGTTCTTTTCTCCACCCCTTTACCGTGTAGTGCATTTTTGTCGGTCACAGCTCTCCTTCATTAATGATTATCTTTTGCTCTTTTCATGTACTTTGTTGTCATTCTCTGTAAAGTTTCATACATTTCAAATTTGTATCATTTATTTCTTCCATTTGATGCATTGTATATTGTCATGCGTAGGTACCAATATGACCATAATGCCCCAGGTGCTGCTTCTCAGTTACGTCTTACCTGTACAAGGGATCTGAACTTGAATGTTTCAGTGTCTAACGCTAATATGCTTTTTCAAGCTTATGCAAGCTGGAACAATCTTAGTCATGTGGATGAATCCTATAGGGAAAAAGTAAATTTGCTACCTCTTACAAATCTGTATTTTAGTATACTGATTTGATACCCGCTTTAACTTGCCTTGATCTGCTAACAATAGTTTGTTTTTATTGGTTATTCAAACAGGATGTAAATTCTCCAACGTATGGTGGAGGACCTTTCATTGATGTTCGTCACAGGAGAGATTATTATATAATTCCACAAAACAAACTTGGTCAGGACATTTTTATTAGAGCTACTGAAGTCAGGGGACTTCAGAACATAATAAAGATGCCATCTGGAGATATGAAGCCTATTAAAGTTCCAGTTTTGAAAAATATGCTAGAGTCGCATTTAAAAGGACATCTTTGCAAGAAACTTAGAACAATGGTGACCATCATAATAGCGGAAGCTGAGGTGTGTTTCTTGGTTTTGTTTTACTTGTTTTTTTAGTTTTGGATATGATGCCAGTGAATTCTGTGATTTCCTGCCTTCGTGGGGGGAAATTTTTTTATTGTATGGCTTGGTAAATAATTTTGTGTCAGTTAAATTAATTAAGGATGAGAAAAGGAGAGAATGAAGATGAAGAAACTTAGAAAATATGAGGAAGAAGAACTCCGAAAATATGAGGAAGAAGGAATATATTTCTGTTATATTCAAAACTTCTTATTTTACAAGACCAAATGACACTCCTTATATAGGAGATATTACAAACATCATTTAGTGGTTCAAAGTACAATATTACCCTCTAGCCTATCAGGCATCTAAACATAACATAATAAACAAAACACATAACAGTGTCCTTGTGGCTGCATCAATTTTGGCCTTTTTGTGACCTCATGTATGTGTCATGGGAGTGCATCAAATAGGACTGCAGCTCAAGTGCTATTTTATTTGATTCTTCTTAAATAGGTACTTTGAGCAGACAATGGTTAATCATTCATTTGGCAAGGAAGATATTCTAGTGTTTGGTGGTGGTTGAAATGATTTTTCAAGATACTGTTGTACTGATTTTCTAGAAGCTAATATTGCAAATGCAGGTTTTACACAAAGCATGATCCGAAAAATAAATTTTTAGCTGGCACAGCAAACTTGTTCACAGTAGATAAAGGTCCATATTCGTTGATGATAACTAAGTCTGTGTTGTTCAAATGTGGAAGAGAGTCTTATTTAATCTTCAGTGGCAACTGTTCAGAAAGTGGATTGGTTAATTAAGACTAGTTGAAAAAGTGTCAGACACGCATTTAGGAGTGTCTGAAGAGTGTCGGTGTCCGACGACATAGGTGTTGCACGTGACATGCTTTCTCCATAGAAGTGTTAGTGTTACTTTGGGTTGACATGCATTTAAATTTTTCATAAATGTTTTTAAAGAACATTATTGCTGCTGTAAGAAGATTTTTTAGCCGTTATTTCATTGGGATCTTACACACTTGTATAATTGTTTACAATTGTATTTAATAAAATTAAGTTATTTGACAATACTTGACTATTTTTTTTTCCCCTAACAACATTTATTTTATTTTATTTTAATTTTACACTTGTTCCTTGTTAAAATCCACCTACTCTCCACCTACTTCACCCACTTAAACCTACTCCACTAAACCTAACCCACTACACCACTACCACCTCACCTTCACCTACTCCTTACCTACTACACACTCACCCTCTTCTATATATAGGAATCATGAATCATTGTAATAGATATCAATTACAAATATCAATCAATAATACAATCATTTCTCTTTATACATTAAATTTCTACATTCCTTTATGTCAATGACTATACAAATTGCAATATGTTTAGTTAATTAATTATTAGGTTTTTATACATTTATATATATTTCAATTTATCTTTCCAAGCATTTCTAAGTATTTTCAAATTATTTATGTTGCTTCCGAAACATTTCAGAAATATTCCATGCTAATCAAAATGACACACTGAAACGAAACTTTGTTCCTTTTCTACAACAATGAATAATTACTAAAACATGATAATGTTGATTTAGTCAGGGGTGCTACGAGAGTGAAAGGTTGACATGTGGTGGCTACTACATGCTAGTTGATATGGTGCTGACCAGAGTGATTTGGTGAAAATGGTTTGTGCCAACAACACCAAGAAATTAGGCTTTGTTGAGTTGAGTTACGGTGCAATAGGAATATTACAACCATTGATGATTGCATATTTTGAGAATAAATAAGACAATTTTGTTTTTGAGGACTCTGCTTGAAACAATTCTACTGCTTCATTACAGGGAAGGAGTTAATTATCATTTAAAGAGACAGTATAGGGATATACCACAAGCTATCAATTGTTTCCGAGAAATTGGAGAAATTTTAAATAAATTATAAATTTTGAGATTATACAAATGTATCTAGGTCTTGAAACAAGGATCCATTCACGGGTATATTGTGAATATCGCGGATATTTTATTTTATGATTGCAAGCATAGAATTTGTATTTTTTGCTGCTACTGGTATGGATGACCATACCTAATCCATTTCCATACCTTTTTCATATGAGAATTATCTTTTGTATTTTCTCAACTACTTCTGCGTTTTTACAGTTTCATAGAGCTGAAGGGTTGTCATCGCATCAATATTCTGTAGCAGTCCGTCTTAGTCTAGACCAAAGCCTTCCTGGAGGATCACTTATAAACCAACAAAGTGCACGCACTTGTGGCACCAGTTCTGATCACATTGCATCTTCTGGACTTGAATTGGTGAAATGGAATGAAATATTTTTCTTTAGAGTTGATTCAGTGGTAAGCAAGGAACTCATTCTTTTGTGCCTTCCATCTATATATTTTTCACTTCTTTCCAATGATGTGCTTGAATGAATGAGGGTTGTGCATCTCCCCCGCTTCCTTTTTGATCTGTAATTATGGTCATTGTCCTTTACATCACTGCTCAAGTTGTGAGTTGCCTGTCCATGATGCACCAGTGATGTCATAAATTGTACCATATGATGGATTGTCTACTCTTTCTGTGCTGAAAGCTAAATTGTCCTACCCAAAAGGATGTATTTCTATAGATTCCAGGGATTTAGTGTTTTATGCAAATGTCAATACCCCTTCTGTACAGACATCTACCATTCTTCATCTTAACAAAAGGGGTATATACCTTATCATGTGAACTTGAAATGATATTTGGATTGCAAACAAGGCATAATGATAAGAATATGGTAGGGTAATGGAAGATATATCAAGCATGATTGACAAATTGTAATGAGAGACATTTTGACAATACTGTAAGGTGATTGCAACTGATCCAATGAACTGGAAATCATATGTAAATTGGGTTAAAGGCAAGTGATAGACGTACATATTTTGAACATTAAATTAAAAAGATTATGATGATGTATTATGATGAAAGACATTTTGACACCATTGTCAACATATTGATAAATTGGTTGATGATGCTTCTTATGTTTCGTTAGCATGTTGATTTACAAATCGTTCTCACAATTTTGTTTGTTGATTTTAGAAAATTCAGCATTTCAAAGAGACAATGTGATGGATTCATTTAACTGCTAGGCTGGTATATCATTTTGTAGAAACTGTCCTCTTCAACCTGGAATCAAGTATGGATTCTTCAGCATATATGGGGACTAGGGACACAAACGTGACATGTCATGGACACGCTGACACTACAAATTAGGACATAACTACGAGGATGCGTAATAATACTCATCTATATATACATTTATCATCCATGAAGCACTGACATTTCAAAACAGGTGCCGTAACGGTGTCGGACACGGGAACAGGTGTCCCTTTTTAAAATTAATTTGTTTTCAAGGGACATGCCGGGTGACACATGAACTAGTTTTTTTTCACCTCTTCTTTAATGCTTTTGATGGATGTTGAATGTTTATTACTTTTCACTTAGATTTAAATACTTAATAGATCATCTATAAAAATAAAAATAAAAAAGATATAAATGATAAGAGTTTGCTTAAGAGTGGTTTATATATATATATATATATATATTGATGTAGTGCTAGTTTTTGTTAATCTTGATTGTTGGTGGATGTAATATTAATCTACATAGTAAATATATATATATATATATATATAATTGAAGTGTTGTTACTTTTCTTTTCAGTTAGAAAATTTTGAACATAATTTGATTATCTATCCATGATTGGGAGGTTGGGCAGTTGGGCAATTGGTGGACTTGTTGACCTTTTTATATGGGGTAAAGGTTGGGCGGGTGGGGGAGGATGCTATGGTGTGGGGGGTTCCTAGTGCCAAAAGTGTTTTTTCAGTCTCGTCATTTTATTCGATTTTGTGTGATGATCGTGGGGAGGCTTTCCCTTGGTGTTGTGTGTGGGTTCCTAGTGTTCCTTCAAAGGTGGCTTTCTTTTTGTGGATGGCAGCTTTTAACTATTGACAATTTGATTCATCGGCATCATATTTTGGTTAATATGTGTTGCATGTGTTGTGCGGATGCGGAGATAGTGGGCCATTTTCTTATTCATTGCTCGGTTGTTTCTTGCTTGTGGGCACATGTTATTTCTGTGTTTGGAGTGGTGTGGGTTCAGCCAAAGTGGGTCATGGAGGTTCTTCATTGTTAGGGGGGTGGTCGTGTTGGAAAGCGGTGGCGGAGAGCTAGGGTGTTAGCTCCTTTGTGTTTGATGTAGTTGATTTGGTTGGAGCGGAATCACCGGACTTTTCAGGGGATTGCCCAACCTGTGCTCGATTGGAGTCTCGATTTTTTTGGTGTTTTGTATAGTTGGATGTTGGGTAGGGTGGATCCTGATTTGTTTGTTTTTTCCGACTTTGTTGATAGTTACTTGGTTAGGTTCCCCTGTTTTGAGGGGTGGTTTTATTTGTTTTCTCTTGGCATCTTCTTGATGCTTTGGTAATAAATTTTATTTATCAAAAAAAATTATGTTTTGCAAACCAACCAGTCTTGGGCATGAATTTTTCTCTTCCAGTGCTTGCAAAGTTTTCATCAAATATTTATATATGTGACAACAACTTAAGAATATGCATTATTGGCGTTGAGATTATGTATCTATATTTTGCATATTAATTTAAATCAACTTTAAGGTTGTTCTTCAGCGATTATTTCTGACATTTACTTCTTGTACATCTTTCTTTTGCTACCACTTTATGGTTTGCCCCGTTAATTTAACAGGAGGGCTACACGGTGGAACTAACAGTTACTGACATGGGAAAAGGTACTATCTTCATCTACAAGGTTCTGTTCCACTTATTAATTGTTGATCCTTGTGTTAAGATGCAGTTGGATAGAACTCCAATCTTTATAATTTTGCAATAGGTGTTGATACCTCATTTTCATCCCTCAAAAAAATTCCTTAAATATCCTTTAGTAATTTATAGCAGGTATTCTAATAACACAAGGATCTTTCAGACCATCTTACACGGTAATATTGCATGAGGATTTCTCAAGCCACATAATGCTAATATGAAAGTTCCTCTGGACTTTTTGCATAAAAAATGACATTAATTTGACCAAAATAGCCTTAATCAGTGGAACCTAACCTCTACTTTTGAATTATCGAGATTCGGTAATAGCTTTGTATGGATGGTTCGGAAGCTTATCTGACTATAATTGTTCATAATGTCGAAACCAAATCATGATTGAAATTTTATGTCATTTTGCACCCCTCTGACATTCAAATGGATACTAAATTTCCAAACAGCACGGTATTAGTTTGTATCGACAGAAACCTAATTTTGAAGTTTCATGATGAAACTTGTTATTCTAAATTAAGTTTTCTTTGAGACTTTCCAGGGAAAGCGCAGCCCTATTTGATGCAACCCAACCTACACTTTTTTGCGATTTGACATTGCCTTTTACATAACAGGTGATCCAGTTGGATATTTTTCTGCTTCTTTGAAGGAGATAGCCAGAACTTATGATCATTCAGGTGAATTTACTTGGATAGACTTGTCTCCAGCAGAATCTATGGTGAGCAAGCATCCTTTCTTATATTGCTTTTTTGTTTCTTCAAGATTGGACAAATGTTAGATATTTGTTCTCTCTTTTCTGGGGTTCATCTTTAGGAAATACTCACCTCATTGATTTTCATGCAGAAGATGACTGAAGGAGATCAATCTCAGAAGTCATCTGGAAGAATAAAATGTTCTGTACTGGTACTGCCAAGATTTGAAGTTGAAGACAGTGAGCTGTCCTTTACTGGCGGCAGAAAATCTGGTTTTATTCAAATCAGTCCTGCAAGGGAAGGACCTTGGACTACCGTGAGGCTAAACTACGCTGCACCTGCTGCTTGTTGGCGGTTAGGTTATGATGTTGTTGCCAGTGAAGTCAGCATAAAGGACGGCAATAGATATGTGAATATTAGATCACTGGTGTCAGTTCGTAACAATACCGATTTCACACTAGATGTGTGCCTCAAACTCAGAGGTCATGAGGGAAATATGAGGCCACTAGAAGATGCAAGCAAGTCTGAGGAGACACAGATTGATGTTAATAGATTAGAGACAGATGTGTTCTTTGAAACTGAGAAGTATAACCCAACTATTGGCTGGGGTAGTGTGGTGCAACCTAACCTAGAACACTCAGATGGTGTGGATTCTCATCAGGTAAGTGGCTTAACATGAATGTTGCGATATGACATCAATTTTATTTTGCATTTCGCACTTTCTTCAATGTGATTATTACTTCATCAGCTGTTGTTTGTAGAATTGGTTCTCATTATTGTTCTTGTCAGAGTGTGAGAGATCATCAACTGCTATTTGTAGATTTGGTTCTCATTATTATTATTATTATTATTATTTTGTGTGTGTGTGTGTGAGAGAGAGAGAGAGAGACAGAGAGAGAAGAGTTGTCCAGAACTTTCAGCAACCACAGTTTTGAAAATCCACAAATGCTACATAGATCCATTGACTCTTACATTCATGACCTCCTCGATCTGTTGACTAATAGTACAGATTCACTATTTAACGTGCAAACCCAAAAAAATAGAGGTTGTAAATCCTTAGTGTTTGTAAGTTGCCTTGAAGACAAAGTTGCCACATAGAGCCATGTCATCCCAAACTTTGTAGCAGTAGATACAAGCTTGGATATCAAACTGAGAAATCTGATTTTATGTATCATGTCATTCAGAGCTTGGTCCTGATGAATCACAGGTTGATGTCAAAATCTTCCCAGGTGTTCTGAATGTGGTAATATGGTTTAATTTGAACTTCATTAAACATCCATACCATTACCTTATTCCATTTTGGTACTTTTGATGTTACAATTTTACAAATATGGCACCTGCTTAATTAACTGCTCCTGACTGCTTGGGCTGTTATCTAATTCCTGTCAATTATACAGGGAACTTTTGGAGTTGAGTTGCCATCAGGTTGGCAATGGGTTGATGATTGGCATATAGACAAGGCTTCTGTTAATACCACCGATGGGTGGATTTATGCTCCAGATCTGAAAAGTCTGAAGTGGCCTAAGTCACATGATCCTATTAAGTTTGTGAACTATGCAAGGCAAAGGAGATGGATCAGGAATAGGAAACATATATCAGGAGATGTTAAGCCGCAAATATTTGTTGGGCAACTGAAACCTGGTGATACTGTTCCCCTTCCTCTATCAGGCTTGACCCATTCTGCATTGTATATTCTGCAGTTAAGGCCTTTGGATTTCAATAGCCCTAATGAATATTCTTGGAGTTCTGTAATGGATTGGCCTGGTCAATCAGAAAACTCTGGTAAACCTAAAGAAAATTCTGAAATTTGTGTCTCAACTCTTAACGAGTCTGAGGAACTATTATATTGCTCTGAGATGAGTGGGACTTCCTCAAATAGTTTGCATGGAATGTGGTTTTGTTTAAGTATACAAGCAACAGAGATTGCCAAGGACATTCATTCTGATCCAATTCAAGATTGGAGCCTTGTGGTCAAATCTCCACTATCCATTACCAATTATCTTCCTCTGAAAGCTGAATTTTCTGTTCTTGAGATGCAAGCCAAAGGTCATTTTCTTGACTGCTCTAGAGGAGTTTTTTGTCCAGGGAAGACTGTAAAGGTTTATAATGCTGACATTAGAAAACCTTTGTACTTTTCGCTGCTTCCACAGAGAGGATGGCTGCCAGTAAATGTAAGATTCTGAGGCCCAAGCACTTTGTTTAAATTTTTCACTTTTTCTTTCTTTCTTTTTGATGCAACACATTTTAAACAGTAGCCTTTTTGTTTTTCATCTCTCGTAGGAGGCTGTTCTCATATCACATCCTAGCATAAATCCATCGAAAACAATAAGCTTAAGAAGTTCAATTTCCGGAAGGTCCATACCTTTCCTTGGCCCTCTTGTGCTCTTTTTTTTTTCTTGTTTGCAATTAATTTCTTGTTTCATATGCCTCAACTTATTGTTATGTGCAGGGTTGTTCAAATCATTCTTGAACAAAACCATGACAAAGAAAGGCCACTTCTAGCAAAGATCATTAGGCTCTATTCTCCTTACTGGTTTGCAATTGCAAGGTGCCCACCCCTTACACTTCGGCTTTTCGACACGGCTGGGACAAAACAAACTCGGAAGATTCCTTTCCCTTTTCTGTCAAAAGAAAACAATGTAGTAATCTTTGAGGAAATTACTGAAGAGGATATATACGAAGGTTATACAATTGCTTCTGTCTTGAATTTTAAATTGTTGAGCCTCTCTGTGTCTGTCACTCAATCTGGCAGGGAGGGGCGATTTGGACCTCCTAAAGATCTTTCTCCGCTCGGTGACATGGTAGGTAATCCAAATTCTATGTTGCTTCACCTCTCAGTAAATTGGAACTCATATGGAGCATTTCTTCTATTTTAGGATGGGTCATTGGATATTTGTGCTTATGATGCTGATGGCAATTGCTTGCGGCTTTTTATATCTTCAAAACCATGCCCACATCAATCTGTTCCAACAAAGGTCCTTACTGGCTCTTACATAATTTTTTTTGAGCAATATGGCATTTGGATCTTAATTTTTTCCGTCCCCTTTCTTCAGGTGATATCTGTCCGACCATTTGTAACTTTTACAAACAGAATTGGTCAAGACATATATATGAAGTTAAGCATTGAAGATGAGCCAAAGATTCTGCGTGCATCTGATTCTCGAGTCTCCTTTGTTTATCGTGAAGCTAGTGAACCTACTAAACTTCAGGTAAGGATCTATCACTCTTTCAAGTTAACCCTTCACCATGGATTAATATATCAGTAAAAAGGACATACGGCAATATCAAAAGTATGATTGCTTTGACGGATACAAGTATTTTTCTTTTTGAAAAAGTAGCAAGACGTGGAAATTTTTGAAGAATGCAAAGATTACATATTATTTAGTGCATTGTTTACATTATGGTACAAATATAATTGACTAGTATATAGTATTTAATGCACAAAATACGACAATCAGTACAACACTAGCTATTTGTTCATTAGGTACTAGCTAGAAGGGTAGTAATGTAATCTTCCATGTAAGTATAAATATAAGAGATTAAGGGAAGAGAACCCAAATGTTCTCATTCTCCCTTTTCTGATAATGTTGTTACTCTTCTCTTCTCTTTCCTCTCTATTAGTTCTTGTCTCTTTCTTTTATTTTTTCTTTAATTCTTCACTATTAAGTGCTACCATTCTCTATCATTCAAGTCTAACGTGGGTGTATTATTTAAATGGTCAGAGCAAGTCCGGTTTAAGGTGTTAATAGATTGAACAGAAAAATGAGGGTGAAGGAAAAAGTTGAGTTATGAAGCACTTGTAGTTGGCACCAATTTCTTGGAATTTTAATTTCTTGATCATTTTATGGAAGAAAATAGAAATATAGACTCCTCTATAAGAAAGCAAATGCAGAATTGCGGATGAAGTGTCTCTAAGTCCTTGTGTAAGTTGAAGCTTAGTAGGAGGAAACTCCTGCTTAGGTGATGTTTCTTGTTGAGAAACATGTTTCTACGCTCCTAAGTAAGAAATTGTAGGAAACTTGCTCCCATCAAGGAAGAAACTCGCTCCCAATTGAGATAGAAACTCTGAAACATACAAATCTTAAAGAAACAAAAGAAAAACAACTTAAACTTATTACAGTACTTCCTATTTACATAATATTTGTTTATACTAGACAAAGATAATTTGTGGTTGACATTAATTTCAAATATTTATTCATATTTTAACACATTTTTACACAACGACGTAGAAAAAATAGTTGTTAGAATGTCTTTATAAATTTAATAGATAAAACATATATATACTCTCCCATAGGTGCTCCTAGCCTTATAAACTTCTATAGGCTGTGCAATTAAGACTTGAAGTCTCCATTTATGTTTCCTTTTAATTTACTATGCTGCTGGTCATTTTCATTTGTGTCTTGTTATGTTTTAAGAGACTTGTGATCATTTTTAGTCATGGCTTGTCATTTTTAAGAGACTTAGTATATTGGTAATTTCATGTTTTGTTTGAATTGGCTGTGGTTCTGTGGTCCCTGGGTCTGGTTTTGTCAATGCGATTTGGTCAATCAGTTGTACTAATTGCCCTCGTATCTAACTATAGGTCCAATTAGAAAATACAAAATGGTCGTTTCCTGTTCAAATCATGAAAGAGGGCACTATCTCTTTGGTTTTGAGGAAACATGATGGTGCTCGTAGAATTTTGAGGGCAGAAATTAGGGGCTATGAAGAAGGTTCACGCTTTATTGTTGTGTTTCGCCTCGGATCAACAAATGGTCCAATCAGGTACTTTTGTATTTGTTTAGCCATTAACATAATAATTTTAAGTTACCATACTAATTTTATTGCATTTTATGATTCTGGCTAATTATTCGACAGACTTGAGAACAGAACAATTAACAAGACAATAAGCATTCGCCAGTCTGGATTTGGTGATGATACATGGGTTCAGTTAGAACCTCTTTCAACTACCAATTTTTCTTGGGAAGATCCCTATGGCCAAAGATTCATTGATGCTAAAATTCATAGTGGCAGTAGTACTGTAGTCTGCATCCTTGACTTAGATAAGGCAGGATCATGTTCTTTAGAGGATGGCGGGTTAGGTTTGTCTTTTCATGTTGTTGAAGTGGGTGATATCAAGGTTGCTAGGTTCACAGATGACAGGGCATCAGGATCTAGTTCAAATGAAGTAGGTAGGTCACTGACATCTGCTGGCAATTGGAAAAATTCTCACATGCAGAGGAAGACACAGGAGAATGCAGCTCCTTTTGAGATTATCGTTGAGTTGGGAGTTGTTGGCGTTTCTGTTATAGACCATAGACCAAAGGAGCTCTCATATTTGTACCTTGAGCGAGTCTTCATATCTTATTCAACTGGGTATGATAGTGGGACTGCAAGCAGGTGAGAGCATTTCTTTCTGTTCAATTTCCTGTAGTTCAATTTTTTATTACAACACTTGCTGCATCAGAAGACTCTGGTATGACAATTTCTTACTCCATACTCGATCTGTTCTGTTGTGTCTGAACAAGTCTGGTTTCCTTCGTATTAGTACAGTAAATTATATACTATGCTTTTTGAATAATGGATGCTTCAATGAATGATTTAATGCTATAATGCTTATCCAAAATTTCAGACCTGTATGCATCCAGTGTGAGCTTTATTTGGATTTGTCAACTGAATTATATAAATTGCATAGCTCTTAACTTATCCATGACGGAAATGATTTCTTTTCAGTCTTTTCTGAACAAGATCCTATCAATCCTTCTAATTGTTTGGTAGAAACTTGCAAAGAGGCTTTAGATTTCCAGTCATATATTTCAATGTTTTGGGGATTATGATGGTTTATTGCTGAGCTGATCTGTTTTCATTTGAGCCAGGTTCAAGCTCATATTGGGTCACCTGCAGCTTGACAATCAGCTCCCTCTGACATTGATGCCTGTGATGTTGGCACCTGAGCAGACCACTGATATGCATCATCCAGTTTTCAAGATGACTATAACAATTCGCAATGAAAACCCTGATGATATCCAGATCTACCCATATGTGTATATAAGGGTAATGTTTTGTTAACAATAATGTGAAAGTTGTAGTTTAACCATAGTGCACGCAGAAAACATCAACCATATCACTTTTTGATAGGTAACGGAGAAGTGTTGGAGGCTTAACATTCATGAGCCAATTATCTGGGCTTTTGTGGATTTCTACAATAATCTTCAACTAGATCGTGTCCCCCAAAGTTCTAGTGTCACGCAAGTTGATCCAGAGATACGCATAGAGTAAGAATCCTTTTGTTGCTTGTTTGTACCCAGCTAAAGTTAAATAGTTTGTTTACTTTTTCCAAAAGATGATTCTGCTGTGAAGTTTCTCAATAATGTGGCTTATGTGAAACTTGACACCTGCTTAGGCTCCAGCTCCTGTAATAGTGTCTTGGCAATTGCTTTCTTTAATTGCATTTATTAGTTGACCTTGGTATTGCAACCAAATACCAAAAGATTTTTAGAGTGCCTGTTTACACTACTTCAAGAAAGGGAGATTTTTGTTAGAAATGGTGACCATCTGAGACTTACACATATTGTTGAAGGACTTTGTTGACTTTTTTTTTTTTTTCCCTACCCTTGAAGAAAACTCTCTCTCTCTCTCTGTGCTTTTTTCCCTTCTCTTGTTTGTTTGAGAGAGACAGGGGTGTTCTTTCTATGGACCCACCCACTTATGTATCTTGTTAATTTGTCAACCACCATCTCATCTAAAAGTTTAACTGCTAGAGGGAGAGGTAACTTTATTGTATCCTCAACATAAAGAAAAGGGGCGGAAGAGAAATGGAAGTAGGTGGTCACCATGGTGATTATTTGTTTCCACTATAGTGACGGCCATTATATACGTGCTTCCTAATTGAGCTAATTTTAGGGTTAAACTAAGAAAACGATAATCTAAATGGGAGGAAAACGTGGAGAGAAAACCATTGACAATTTTCTCTCTTCATTGTTTTCTCTCATCCTCTTTTAGGTCCCACCATCTCGTCCTACGACGCCCACCAGCCTTCTTAGCTTGGTATTGCCCTCTCAAACAATGAAGAGAGAAAATAAACTAGAAATATTTAAGAATCGAATGGATAAAGAAGGTACTTGGGACTTAGAAAGTGATGCTAACACTATGTGGAACTCGATGGCCAATTGTATGAGGAGAATCTCAAGGAAAGTGCTTGGAGAATCGAAAGGAACGGGACCCAGTTCTAAGGAAATTTGGTGGTGGAGGGAAGAGGTTCAAGCGGTAGTTAAGGCAAAAAAGAGTGCTTTAAAAAGTGGCAAAAGGATAGAACTGAGGAAATCCTTAAGAGCTATAGATTAGCTAATAAGGAGGTCAAGAAAGCAGTGAGAGAGACCAAGTTGAAAGTATATGATGACCTATACACTAGACTAGATAGTAAGGAGGGAGAGAAGAGGGTATACAAACTTGCTAAGATACGAGAGAGGAAAATAAGAGATTTTAATCAAGTAAAGTGCATCAAGAGTGAGGATTCTAAGGTATTGGTGAAGGATGATGAGATTAAGAAAAGATGGAAGAATTATTTTGAGAAACTATTAAATGAGGAATATGGAGGTACGACAATAAGGGAAGAAATAGCCAGTAATACGATAAACCAAGACTATAGGTTCTATCGCAGGATTAGGAACTTTGAAATGGAAATTGCACTTAAGAAGATGAAATCAAATAAGGCTTTAGGACCCGATAATATCCCTATTGAAACTTGGAAGTGTTTGGGTAAAAAGGGAGTTGGTTGGTTGACTAGGTTGTTTAGCAAAATTTTGTTGACTAGGAACATGCCAGATGAGTGGAGGAAGAGTATTTTAGTGCCAATCTATAAGAATAAAGGTGATGTCCAGAATTGTAACAGCTATAGAGGAATCAAGCTAATGTGTCATATAATAAAAGTGTAGGAGAGGGTGATGGAACGCCGATTGCGAGATATAACAGAGGTGTCAGAGAATCAATTTGGGTTTATGCCTGGTAGGTCAACAGTGGAAGCGATCTATCTTTTGAGGAGAGTAATAGAAAAGTATAAAGAAAAGAAAAGAGACATTCATATGGTGTTTATCGACCTTGAGAAAGCATACGGCAGAGTGTCCCGGGATATAATATGGTGGGTGCTAGAGAAGAAAGGGGTGACAAAAAGTTACATTGACGTGATTAGGGACATGTATGAAGGGGTGGTGACCACTATTAGATCGCCAGCTGGAGAGACAAATGAATTTCCTATCACTGTAGGGTTACAACAAGGATCTACCTTAAGTCCTTATCAAAGAGACATTCATATGGTGTTTATCGACCTTGAGAAAGCATACGGCAGAGTGCCCCGGGATATAATATGGTGGGTGCTAGAGAAGAAAAGGGTGACAAAAAGTTACATTGACGTGATTAGGGACATGTATGAAAGGGTGGTGACCACCATTAGATCGCCAGCTGGAGAAACAAATGAATTTCCTATCACTGTAGGGTTACACCAAGGATCTACCTTAAGTCCTTATCTTTTTGCTTTAGTTATGGACGAGTTGACGATAAATATTCAAGATGACGTGCCATGGTGCATGCTTTTTGCAGACGATATTGTGCTAGTGGATGAGACTAGAGAAGGAGTTAACACAAAGTTAGAGATTTGGAGAAAAGCTCTTGAATCTAAAGGATTTCGGATGAGTAGAACTAAGACAGAATACATGGAGTGTAAATTTAGTAACAGTAACAATGAAAGCAGAGGAGAAGTGAAGATTGAGAACCAAGAATTGCCTAAGAGTAAACATTTTCGTTATCTAGGGTCGATTATCACAACAACGGGAGAGATTGATGCAGATGTGGCCCATAGGATTAAGGCGGGATGGTGTAATACGCCACTAGATTAAAAGGTAAGTTTTATAAAACGGCTATTCGACCAGCTATGTTGTATGGGACGGAGTGTTGGGCAACCAAGAAACAACATGTAGATAAGATGAGTGTGGCTGAGATGAGGATGCTAAGGTGGATGTGTGGTAAGACTAAACAAGGCAGGATTAGGAATGAGTGTATTCGGGAATGGGTAGGAGTAGCACCGATAGAAGATAAGTTGAGAGAGAATCGTTTGAGATGGTTTGGTCATATTCAACGGAGACCAACAGAGACAGTAGTGAAGAGATGCGATACTGTAATGGTAGATGGAAGTGTTAGGGGACGGGGTAGGCCTAGATTAACGTTGACTAGCGTTTTAAATAGAGATATGAATCTACTTAATTTGACTAATGAAATGGACTTTGATAGGGCCGCATGGAGAAGAAGGATTCATGTAGCCGACCCCATTTGATGGGACTTAGGGCTTGGTTTGGTTTGGTTTGGTTTATTGTTTTCTCTCATCTAGGCTATCATTTTCTTAGTTTAAACCCCAAAATTAACTCAATTAGAGAGGACATGATATAATAGGATAGTTTGAATAGCATAAGCATCAAGCGATGCCATTCTTGTCGCCCTTTAAAAGTCTGATACATTTTTACTAAAATTTTAATACGAAACTATAATTGTGAATAATGTGCATTTATCATTAGTTTATCATGCATCTTTTTGTTTATTATGTATTATGTAAGTCAATTAAAGACGGTCCCCCTCAAGAAATTGTCCTATTTTTTATTTCTTTTGGTAGTTTGCAAGGAAAGTGCTTGGAGAATCGAAAGGAACGGGACCCTTTGGCAAGCTCCATGTTCCTAATGCTATTTCCGTGCAATACGTGGACCAGGTGGGCTTCATTTTCATCCTCACAACATATATTTTGGCTTTACAGTTAATAATTTCAGGGCAATGCCCATGCACACTTAGTTGGAAATCCTTTAAATAATGTTATAACCTTGATATGCAAAAGTTTTCTACAGAAGACAATCATATATTTTCCTTAGATGTCATACCCACTACCATTAGTTGCATAGTTTGGGATTCGCAAGTGAAAGATTGTCATTGTTACTTGTCTTTTCAGCCTAATAGATGTTTCAGAAGTGAGGCTAAAGGTGTCTTTGGAGACAGCACCAGCTCAAAGACCACATGGGGTTCTAGGTGTGTGGAGCCCTGTATTGTCAGCTGTTGGAAATGCATTCAAAATTCAGGTCAGATTACCTATTTTCCTTGATAACCAGAACTGTTTTATTTTGCATGTCAGAAATTCTCTGACTATTTATAATGGAAGTTGTGTAGTCTCCACCCAGGTCCAGCACTTTACTGGTCTTATATAAGTCTAATTTTTTTTGGGGTGAATAATAAGTCTAATTTTTTAATACACATATAGAGGCAATTTCTTGAATTAGTTGAAATTTACAATTTTAATTTTTCCAATCTGGATTAGAGAATGCCAAACATGATATGCATTTAGAAGGGAATCGTACCCGTATCTGATATTGATACTCGTTGAATACTCATAGATACATATCCGATATTTTTTAACTGTATCTAATACAATATTATTTTTGAGAAGTATCGGATACTTTTAAGACACTACAGGTCACATATCTGAACCATTATGAAATTGAGATTGTAATAATTTTTGCATAGTATTAGAGTATAATTGTTAAAATAAATACAAGAATAATTTTTTAATACTTTTCTTACTTCTTCCCAAAGAAGAAAATAGTGAAATTAAAGTAGTACCTTATCATTTTTGAATTTATTGAATTAACGTATCCTTAATGTGTAGTGTATGTGTCCCATATCCATATCCATATTTTTCATAAGGATAAATATAAATATATAAGATGATACTATAATCAAGTTTCAACAATTAAATAAGCAAGTGAACTTGCATGCGATATTTTTGCATATAACACTTTTAAATGTGTCTGCTGCTTAATTATTATTTTTTATGGCTGTTCTTTCAGTCTTTTTCATGAAGTATACTTTCTCTCAGACATGTTTTAGTTCCTGCCAATATGATATCTATAACATTGATTCAGGGGAATTAGCTTGTAGAAGATGAAGGCATGTTATAAAAAATTCATGCATAATTGATGTAACACCTCTGTTTATTTTAACACTCTGATTTTGCTAATTTAGGTGCATCTAAGGAGAGTGATGCACAGAGACAGATTTATGCGGAAAAGCTCTGTCATTCCTGCTATTGGAAACCGTATATGGAGAAGATCTAATTCATAATCCTTTACACTTAATTTTTTCAATAGATGTACTTGGTATGACAAGCTCAACATTAGCTTCTCTTAGTAAAGGTTTTGCTGAACTCTCAACAGATGGCCAGTTTCTGCAACTTCGTTCAAAACAGGTGACAATATATTGGTATTTATTTAGTCAAATACGTCAATAATACAATTCAAATCTGATGACAAATTGAAACTTGGCATCAGGTATGGTCAAGAAGAATAACTGGGGTTGGTGATGGAATCATGCAAGGAACAGAAGCTCTTGCACAAGGAGTTGCTTTTGGAGTATCTGGAGTAGTGACGAAGCCAATGGAAAGTGCTAGACAAAATGGGCTTATTGGGCTTGCTCATGGGCTGGGACGAGCATTCCTGGGAATAATTGTACAACCAGTGAGTGGTGCATTAGATTTCTTCTCATTGACTGTTGATGGCATTGGGGCAAGTTGTTCCCGGTGCATAGAGGTTCTCAATAACAAGGCTACCTTAGAAAGGATTAGAAATCCACGGGCTATTCATTCTGATAATATACTTAGAGAATATTGTGAAAGAGAAGCTCTTGGGCAGGTACATTTTCTTTTTTCTTTTCCATAAAATTCATGTGGTATACTGAAAAATATTTAGTATTACATATGGAAGAGGGAAATCTGGTATGAACCTAAAAATGATTTATGTTAAGAACAAAACTGTTTATATGTTTTTCCAGTATTGATGTTTTTGTAGTTGCTAAATGCACCCTGTTGAATGTATGTAACAATAGAGACAAGCCATGGTAAATTCACCCACCATCTAAATAAGATGTCACGTTGCCAAGTTTGGCCTGATTACTCATGCCTTGAAAATGATGACTAAGTGAGGAGCATTTTTTATGGATGAACCTAACTGTAGTGTTACTAGAAAACATTGGCACCCTAGCGAATTACGTTTTGGAACGCACGTTTTGAAACATGGTGCACTTTCGTTCCAAAACGGTAAATTTAGTGATCTAAAGTGATCTCAAAGGTTTGTTTCAATATATTTCCTTAAGGTTTCCTTCGGAAACAAAAATTTAAGGTGAGTGAAATTTTAACTTGACAAAACATAAAAAAATGAGAAATAATGTTCATAAAAATGTGTTGTGAGAGTAATCAGTATTTATCAAATCTCTTCCTATCTTCAGAAGAAATGAAGTCTTCCACAATGGAATCTTCACACACACCAATTTTTTTCAGGGGAGTCCATCATGGAATCAATTGATGCTAATGACGATTGATCCCACATTAGCCCCAAGTCGTTGGTCTCTAACTAGAAAAGTAAATGTGTTGAATGTCCAACTGTTAAAAAAAAACAAAATCTCTAGACTAAAGGTACCTTAAATTCTCATAGTGTAAATTATACAAGCCTACTCCTATTGTACCACAATTTAGAGCATGTGGCGAACCGTGTTCTCGGTCCACGTACTAGAACAGTCCATGTTCCAGGTTGCAGCCACATTTGTAAGCTAGGTGTATGATTGCAAAAGCAATATTGGGGACACATCAGTTACAAAATTTATCACAAGATTCTAAAGCATACACAAATCAAAGCAAGAACAGTGATCATATTAGTCACAAGTGTAAATATCTCTTCATAATCAACCCCATACTCTTGAGAGAAACACTTTGCCAACTAAGTTGGCCTTGTAACACTTAAAAGAATGATCATAGTGGGTTTTAACATTGTAAGCTCACTAACCACCAATAAGATTTGGAACTTTCTCCCAAGTACTAGTCTTTTCAGGAACACTCAACTTATCATGCATTGCATTAACCCAATTAAGATCAGTAAATTTCAGTTGGGTTCATTTTCATCATGTTGCCATTCTTACCAACTCTTTATCATTTCTTTTTGATATTTAAATTTTTCCATGGTTGATTCTTTCTCTGCTTGCCATGATCGATGATACGATTTTTAAAGTTTCATAAATCTTTCTTTCCAAAGCTGCCTATACAAGGAGAAAACAACTGAAAATTCTTCCTTCTTTTTTTCCTTAACATAAAAATATTCTTCTAGGAATATCTTCCCGTTCGCTTTCAGGAATTCTATCAAGCAGATGAAACTTTTAGACTGAGAACTTCATGAAATCTGATTGTACAGAAATCGGAGATAATGTTTTATTTTCTTTTTTGGTCAATTATTACATGTGCATCTGTTACTTGGGATCTTAGTTGAGTTCGTAGAAATTCGGTATATTAAAAAAATTTATATATCAGTTTCTTTTATCCCTCATACCTTGGAGATCAGTTGATATGGGGGTTGTCTGTTCTAATCTTTCTTTATTTTGGTTTCCAGATGATACTTTGCCTTGCTGAAGCAAGTCGGCATTTCGGATGCACTGAAATATTCAAAGAGCCTTCAAAATTTGCTTGGACTGATTATTATGAAGACCATTTCATTGTCCCTTACCAAAGGATTGTTTTAGTCACTAATAAACGAGTCATGCTGCTACAGGTTGGCCCATGGAACTTAGCTCTATGTACTTTCTACTCTTTTTTAACTCTTAATTTACTAGTTATGATAAACATCTGATCACTGTCTATTGACTCTGTTGTCTTTTTCTGCATGGGAAGTGCCTGGCCCCTGACAAGATGGATAAAAAGCCTTGCAAGATCATGTGGGATGTGCCCTGGGAACAGCTTCTGACTGTGGAGTTGGCAAAAGCAGGCTGCGCTGTACCTTCTCACTTGATCCTCCATCTCAAAACTTTTAGGAGATCAGAAGTATTTGTTCAAGTCATAAAATGCAGTGTGGAAGAAGAATTAGAGGGACAAGAACCACAGGCTGTTAGGATCTGTTCTACAGTGTGTAAGATGTGGAAAGCATACCAGTCCCACACGAAAAGCTTAACATTGAAGGTCAACATTGTACATGGATTCAGTTTTGTTATAAAGTAGCATAAGTGATTCACATAAGATTCTCCATGTACAGGTTCCTTCAAGCCAGAGGTATGTGTGCTTTGCTTGGAGTCAAGATGATAAGAGGGACCCGCGTAGCCAGAACAAAGCCATGATCAAGTCAAGAAAACTCTCATCATCAAGTTCGTTATCTGAAGACAGGAGATTTGTTAAACATACTATCAACTTTTTAAAGGTTTGGAGCAGTGAACAAGAATTAAAAGGTCGATGCACATTATGCCGAAAGAAGGTGATTGGTGTTAGCCTTTTAGGCATTCTCATCTCTACTTTTAGGTTGCCTGGAAGTTTCAGTCCCTGGTTTAATATGCTTCCATTCTTTTCAGGTTTGGAAAGATGATCAAATCTGTAGCATTTGGCGACCAGTCTGTCCCGATGGGTAATCACTGGTCCTTTTTCTTTCTATATTCTGTTTTTCCTTTTACCAGTGACTCGTGTTATTGCACTTACAAGCCTGCTGTCATTGGTCCTTTGAAGCTAGTCATGAAAGTTTTCAACTCTCTGTTGATCCTAACAGTCATATGTTAGGTTTATTAGACTTGATGTCATTGTTTGCTAACTATTAGATGCTAGGATGTGTGCAAACTCTTTGTTACCTGTTGAACTCGATAAATTATTGACACAAGATTTAAGTTCCCTTCAAAATCTTTTATTTTACAAGACACATTGTGGAACTTTTGATTCAGCAGAGATTTAATTTACCCATAACATATTTAGCATTCTAAATTAGATTCAGATATTGTCTTTTCCATTGTGGTTTTAATAGAAACGATGAAACTAATTTCTTATATTCAGTTAGCTGTTTGATGTAGATTTTTTTTTTTTTTGAAGTAGAGGATTCTTGTTTTTTTTTTTTTTTTTTTTTAGGTTCATACTCTGTGGCTTCGACATGGAAGTGAATCTTTTTTTCTTTTTCTTTTTTTTTTTTTTTTTTTTTTGTGCTTCTAGAATTTTGAAATAGGATTGCTGTAGTTGAGGTGATGAACTTTCTTTATATTTTTGAGGCAGGGCTCTGAATTTTTCTCCACATTTATTTGAATGCAGTATTTTAAACTTTAAAAGCTATTAATTTTCGTAGGAACCATTAATGGAATCTGAACATAGGATTTCAATTTTCAGGTATGTCTCAGTTGGGGATGTAGCTCGTGTAGGCATCCATCCTCCAAATGTTGCTGCTGTGTATCATAACAGCGACAAACAGTTTGCACTTCCAGTGGGTTATGACCTGGTAAGAAGCAATTCAGAAAGTTAACATAATTGTACTAGCATAGTTTGTCTTTCAGAGTTTATAGTCTTTGGGCACTTATCTGAACATGGCACCTGTTTCAACGTTCTAAGTGGAACTAAAAATATTCAACTTGGTAATGTGTTTAGACACTGGTGCTGTTTGTATTTTCTGTTGCTGCGCCCACTGTAGTCTACAATTTGTTGCATTTTATTATCATGATCTAAGCACCAAACGGGAGAGCGAGCGAGAGCAAGGGCTTCCTTTGTGAAACTACTTTGCTATAAGTGGCGATGTTCTCTATTAAATTTCAACTTTCCACATTTGCTAGTGTAGAAGAATTTAGAATAATGTCAAGTGTGCTTTACAGGTATGGAGGAATTGCCCAGATGACTACGCAACTCCTGTATCGATATGGCACCCACGTGCTCCGGAGGGTTTTGTTTCTCCCGGCTGTGTTGTGGTACCCAATTATACAGAGCCTGAATCCGATTCTGTATACTGCGTTGCAGAATCACTTGCTGAGGAGACAGTCTTTGAAGATCAAAAGATTTGGTCAGCACCAGATTCGTATCCGTGGGCGTGTCATATTTATCAGGTGAAAAGTGACTCTCTTCACTTTGTTGGATTGAGACGACCTAGAGAAGAATCCGATTGGAGGCCAATGAGGGTTCACGATGATCAACATCCTCGACTGCAAGCATCAGAAGCTCAATGATTTGTGTGTTTGAATTTGGCAAGCACATTTGCATTTTGGGAAATGGTTTTGCTTCTTAGAATCATCAAGGATGCGAATTTCTAGTAAGTTTGTGGGTATAGCTCTCATTTAGCCATTACCTGACAACTTTAGGGAGATTCCGACCTCAACAAAAATGAACGATAACCAGCTTGTGTTTTATGATTGTGCTGGGAAAAACCTTAATTCTTGTGTGTAATGTCGACCCTGTAAATGGTTGTAGAAAGCTTTATAACAGAAAAAACAAGTTCATAAACTATGGGCTGTGTAAAGTTTTTCTTTTTAACGATGGCCTCCCGGTATAATCTGGTACTGTTGGACATGAGAGTAGGCTAGAAGACAATCTTATGATTCTAAAGTTTTGAGCAATTTGTTTGCCTATAGGTCGGATGGACACTGTTCTGGGTTTTGGGACAGTGGACTCCAGCTCAGAAGAGTCTTTAGACTTGTATTATGAACAAACAGAATTTGAAAGTATAGATGATGATTGTATCTACATGAAAATGTGGTGAAAGTTATTTGGTTTTGAAATTGGAAATTTCATTGAAATTTTGCCTTTACCTCACCAACATGTTCATCTTTTTCAGGCTTATTGGTTTTGTGATGTAAGAGTATGGGGGTGAAAACAGATTTTGCCCAAACCGAAGTGCTTGCCAATTTTAATGTTAAATACTGCCCTGGTTCTGTTATGTTATACTTTGGCCAAGGTGTTCCTGAGAAAATAAATAAATAAAGGTTCTATCTACCTCATGCAAAAATCAATCAATAATAACAAATTTTAATAAATAAAAGAAAAGGAAAGAAAGAAAGAAAAGGTGACAAGTTGAGATGAAAAAACAACATTTATATATGTATTTTAAAAATCTTAAATGCAGTTTCTTTCACAAGCTCGAACTGAGAGTGAGAGGCAGGAGATGGGGGGTTTGGCTAGAAGTAGAAGTTTAAGCAGAAATTGAGTTTGTCCGGTGTAATTTTCATAAATTAAAATATAATAATTAGAAATTAAAAGCACTTCTCTATTTATTTTATTTTTTTCTTGATAAAACTCTATCTACTGTTTAATAATTAATAATCAATTACTTTAGCTTTTTAATATGAAATATACTAAGAAGTTCTAATTGAGCACCTCTAATTCACCTCTAGCAATGTAGAATGAGTCTCACTCCTCATCTTTGCTTTCTCTATCTCTTTCTATTATCTCTTTTCTACCTAATTAGAAGTCAAAATAGTGGTTATATATTAGAGATCAGAAATGATAGAGACCTCTTTTTTTTTTTTTGACCCTCACAACCCCTACAAACACATGTCAGTGAGTGATAAGAGGAAAAAAAAATAAAAAATAAAAAGCAAAAAGTTTGTCAATCTCAATACATTAGGGGTGGTGGAGGTCAAGGAAAAATGAGGTCTCAACCTTTTTTCATTAGAGATATAGCATCACTCTTTTAATATTTTATACAAGAAGAAATTATAATAAATATTCTGTTAAAGTCTCAAAACCATCCACTTGTCAACAAATGTCTCACGCCCTAAAACTGGAGAAGTTATTAGTTGGTCTTGAGTATCGCCACGTGGTGCCCTAATACTGTTGTAATTGGTGGAAGAGATGAGGCTTACGAATTTGTATTGGGTGATTAAAGAATATAAGGAGACATGAAAGTTTATGAAAGTTTGTGATCGATGAGGAGTGCCGCCACATAGAGCCCAGAAGCACCGAATAATTTTGAGGGTTGCTATTGGCACCTATTTAATTTCTTTGTATCCTTTATTTCTTTGAACCCCACCTTAAACCCTAAATTTTAATAAGATTTATTTGAATACTCCACTTAATAACAATTTTACCTATATTCATAATATCATCACACTCAAGTGCACACCCATCAAATTTTGTACACACTCTCTTCTTCATCTCTCAATAAATGACGAACGATTGAGAGACGATTAAGAATAACAAATGATTGAAAGACGAATCGACTGTCCCTCTTCTCTTTCTCTCATAAACAATGGTCTCTTTCTCCTTGTCATCGTGAACAATGGTATCTTAGTCAGAAATCTCGTCGAAAATCTCTTTGACTTTCTTCTTCTCTCAGGTAACTTCTAACTCCCCATCACATATTATTCCTTTTATTTATTTCGGGGTTAGAGGGAAAAACCCTATAAAAAAAATAGAAATAGAGGAAAAATTCTAAAAAAATGGAACTGTTCGGTATTCTAGTGCTGAACAAAATATTTATGTTCAGCACTGTATTACAGAACTAAATATTTCTATTCAACATTGTATTATTGAACAAAACCTTAACAGTCGGCAAACTAATACCAAATCGAAAACAATCCAAAATCGTAAATGCAAGATAGAGAGACTTATCATTGCAACGCCAACCTCATCAATGTTGTTGTCATCGTCCTCCATTACTCTATAAGTATCAACGAATGGTGAAAACGATCACAAATATAGAAACTCGAAGTTTGTAATAGAATTGTTTGCAATGTTAACTAATTTGGAACACTAACACATTTGAAACCACCGAACAAAATATTACTTGTTTAGATAGTTTCAAATGTTTTTCATTAAAGATAAATACGTGGGTTTAGAATGGTGCTGAAGAAGAATATGATTAGGGTTTAAATTTGTAAGAAATATGTATAGATGGGAATAAAGGTGGGTGTACAATATTATAAAATATTATTTTAATTATTTTCATTTGATGGATAAATGTTTCATTAAAAGTTATCTTTTAATATAATTTTACTTTAGAGTATAATTATAATTAAAAAAAAGAAAAGAAAAAAAAAATGAGAATTAAGAATCCAAAGCAATTAGGTATTAGGTAACCGCTAAATAGAAGCTTTCATAATTTTTCTTAAAACTGTCGGCCCAAACGCGTACTGTACTTATTACAGAACTGCCATTACCCGCCATTTCAACTAGCTTTATTCAACTACCATATCTATACACATTTATATCTATATATATATATCTATCTTATCCTCAACGACGATTTAGATCGCTGTCCTCTCTCTCTCTCTCTCTCTCTCTCTCTATATATATATATATATAACGCACTATTCGCTTCACACACTCTCTCTGAATTTGTCTCTGAATGGACGGTCTGATTAAGGGCTTGATCGATGTGGCACTGGGTCACAACGACGACAGAGACGAAGAAAGAAACTCTGAGTCTCGCGAAGATCGGTCCAGATCCACTTGGGCAGAGGTTAGCTTCGGCTTCAATATGTTGATGTTATTATATAGGTTGTGAATGTGGTGATGATTCTGTGATATTTAATGCGCAGGTAGTGTCTGGGGAGCAGGATAACGACGAACCGAGCGGTGATCGTAGACATGGTCACGATCATAATCAGTGGAATAAAGAGGTTTGGTTTGCTTGGTGTGGTGAAATTGAGAATTGTGATGAAATTTTGAACGAAATTGTAATGAAATGTAGATGTGATTGTGCAGGAGCAGGAACAGAGTTATGGCAGGAATGAGGAGTGGGAATCTGGTGGATCGCGGCCTTCAATGCGACCTCATAAGGTTATTCTTCTCCGATCTCTCTCTCAGTAACTTGATTTCATTTTTTATTTTTTATTTTTATTTTTATTTTTTGGTACTTAGGGTTTATCACTTTCTTGGACGTGTAGATTAGTGAATTAGTGACTTAAGTTGGGATTAAGTGATTTATATTAGTGTTCGGATATTTAATATTGTGAAGAATTGGTTAGTTTTTATTTTTTAGCTTTTATCTTGAATTTAAGTGAATAAGATAACAGGTCATTGATCTCATCCCTTGTTTGTGAGAGTTAAAAAGTGAGGATTACATGGTTATTTGTGTTAAGGAACAAATGGAGGTGAGTAAATGGGTTTCTGGGATGACCCATGTGTGTCAAATGTCAATTACACGTCTTGCATCAAAATTGAAAGTGAGAAAGATGATTTTTCTTGATAAGACGATGGCTTGGTTGTTTGGGGAAAAAATAAATAAATAAATAAAAATGAAAAGCCCTGCAAGATGGCCAGTGAAGTAGATGCTAAATGTGAAACCATATCAAAGTAACAGATATTTTGCTGCGTTCTAGATAATTGCGAACATTAGTGGCAACTTTCTTACACTTTAGTTGCAAAAATGGTCAGTTGAATGATCATTGTAAAGAAATAATTTAGCAAAGAATACTGTCATTTGGATTTTAAATGTGGTGCTTTGATTACTGTCATTTAGTTTTGAGGCCCTGGAATCATAAACAGGACTTCTGGTTCTACAGTCATAATTAAGTGCTCCTTTTATCTTCTATTTCATTTAACTTTCCCCGTAACCTTAGTCTGTGCTATATCAAAATACTTTTTCTTTTGTACCCATTGATAGGTTTGCACACATTCACAAAACATAGACATATGATTTGCAGTTTGAAATTTTATATTCAACAATTTAACCATCACTGTATAAATTGTTTATATTCTCTTTCTACTATATGATTTCTCTTTGGTCTTCCAAAACCGTGAGTTTCTTAGCAATGTCTTAAATGCAGGCTGTTCAGGAAGGATATGAAAGGAATGAAGATAGTGGGCAGGCAGATTATAAACAAGGCCGTTGGAACAGAAAGGTAAAAAGACTTAATTTTGATACTTTTGTCTTTTATAATATTAGTGAAAGTTGCACATAAAGTTGGATCTTAATTTTAGTGGAACATGTAACAGGATGAAGAGGAGAACAATGATGGTTGGCAAACTGTCTGCAAAAAGCCTCCAAAGCGACCCCATGAGGTTTATTTTATATCATTCATGAAACTCACATGAAAGAGAATTTTGGATGTTGAATTTACTTGCATATGAATGGAACCATATTTCCTTAACATTTAGAATTTGAAAACAACATAGAATTTTGTCACTTTTTAATTTGTATAGATGTGAGTAATGAATATTGAAATGCTAGAGTGATAAATTTTTAATCAAAATTTTTGCTTACTTGATATAGAGTGATGACCTGTCCTCCAATTATTGATGGTCCTAGGACTGGTGCTTGGCCAGATAACTATGGGGATTTTTGTAAAGCCAAGTCTAGGAATCCTTAGGTTAGACTTGGAGTATAACTTGTTTAGCTCATAGCAATGCACTCTAATTGATGTAGTTATGCATTAACTATTGGTCCTTGCCCTTTGCTTTCACCTTGAGCCACACTGCTTTCTTCTGACAAAACAAGTGCTGGTATTGTAGTAGCAGAAGATTTTATAAAGATTTCTACAAATCCTAGCAAGAAACACCTTTTCAGTTGATTTATACCTCATTAAATGCAACCTTGATTATGCACCACATATGGTGTAACTCATTGGTTTGCCAACACCGGATTTCCCATATAGTGTCCCCCTTTCAGTGTATACTCGATTGTTGATCCCCATAAATGTGAGTTTAATTCTCTACAAAAAATTTCTAATATTTTTGTTGATTTTTTTTCTGTCATGGTTTTGGGGTAGAATAAGGATTATGCTATTGTTTTACAAATAGCTTTCAGACTTCTAAAAGATTATTCAAAAATCAGGAGGAGGCCAATGAAAGCAATCTTGATTTAAAAGTGTAATCTTTTGAAGTTTGAAGTTAAGGAAAGTGCAGTAACAAAAAAGAAGACGAAGGTATCGGTAAAATACTTGTATTGGATAAGGAGGATGGAGATGAATAAGATGGAAATGGCTTTAGATCGTTTATAATGAAGAAAATTAATCAACCTCCTTTGAGAAAGAGCTACTTATTTAAAAAGCAATAGCATTGTATGAGCTTGTCTATCGATTTTTTAGATGGCTTTTTAAAGGTTGTCACACAAATCATTAAAGATGAACTTAAACCAACCAATCAGTCATATAACAAATGGAAGTAAGTATAAAGGTATGTGGTCAGGGGTTAGTATTTTATATTTGCATTAAATTCAAGCGTAACTTATTCTTCTTCTAGATTCTTTGTGAACTTGCCAGCTTGCTTGGACATAGTAAGTGAAGTTGAGTTATACTTGAACACAAATAAATAAAGTTTGCATGCGAAGTGTTTTTTTCACTGTCAAATTGTTGCCATCCAAGTATTTTTGCTCTCCATAATTGCATGATCATTTATCCAACAGAGGAATATATATATATAGAGAGAGAGAGAGAGTTCTTTTGTTAACAAAATATATAAAAAAGCCCAATTAGTACACATTAATGTGTGTTTGGGAGAGGAAAGATTGGGTACATACCTAACTTTTAGCTTAGTGCACAAAGTGGTTGTCCCATGACTTAAACCCATAACCTCAAGGTTATTAGGCCGAGATTTTACTATTGAACCAATGGTCACCCCTGGAGAGAGTTCTTTCATTATTAGAGTTAAATTTCGTGAACCCTTGTTAGGTATCCAATATCAACTGCTTATGTCATAATCAAGAAAAATTAGGGTTGGATTGCTAGTCGGGTATTTTCACAGTTTTTACATAACTTTTTTTAGAAAATTCAGCAACTGAATTTAGGAAAACCCACACGACACCAGTAGGAAATCTCAGTGAGGGCAGCAGTAAGGTTCTTCTATTGAGACCTAGGTGTCGCGGATTCGAAACACAGAAAGTGCATGCAAGTTCAGGGCTACATACACTAACCCTCCCTAGACCGTGCAATGGCAAGAGCCTTGTGCACTATACAAGGCACCAATATCTAAACTGGTGCCATATATGGTAGTTCATATCAAATGGGCAAAACTTTTTATTCATGTTGGCCCCCAAAGATGAAATCTTGGTTTCATGCCTGAGTATATCTATAAGTTTCATGATAATCATGAGGTTAAAGGAATTTATGTTGATCAATGTTTTTTTTTAATTTTCATGCAATACTTCGCCAACAACAAATTAACAGGTACAGATCACTCACTGGCATGAATACAAGCGCCCCCCTAGTGAGCAAGAATACTCTGATCACGTTGAACATAGTGTCAACCTGGAGCCTTCAGAGGAAGAGCTTTCTGACCTTGTAAAAGCTTGTGACAAGCTTTGGGAACTTGATTTAAACCGTTTAGTACCTGGAAAGGACTATCAGATTGATTGTGGTGAAGGGAAGAAGGTTTACCAAAAGGACGACATGGCACAAGGAAGTCTATTCTCTTGGCTGAGTGAAAACGTATTTAGGAGGCCTACTTTTTCTCGTTTCTGTTCACTTCTAGATAATTACAATCCACATGAAGGCTATAAAGAAGTTGTCACATCTCAAGAGATGCAAGAGCAAGAAGCATTCATAGAAGAGATCTGTAGAACTGCACCAATCAAATATCTTCACAAGTATCTGTCATCCAAGGACATTGTGTCCGAGAATTATCAAGATTTTAAAAGAATCATGACTAGCCTTTGGTTTAATCTTTATGGCCGAGGTGGTACATCTAGTTGTTCTTCTGCTTTTGAACACGTTTTTGTTGGGGAAATCAAGAACCGCGGGGAGCAAGAAGTTTCAGGCTTCCATAACTGGATTCAGGTGCATACCTCAGTATTGTTTTGCTTTCTAGACAACAACCTCGTTCATTATCAAACATCAATTAAGGATTATAATCAACTGCACTCATGAATCATTATGACCGTGATTATTTAAATCCCCTTTTTTAACACATGCAGATCGGGTGGTGTTTCAAGTACTGTAGAATCTTTTTAAAAATGAGATCCTATTACAGGCAAAGAAGGGAAAGATTTGAACATCTCAAAATGCTGTGCTCACAATTGATGATGACCCTCGAAACAAAACAATTTAAAATAAAATAAAATTTATATTTCAATGAAACATGCTCTGGATACACCAAAATCATTTTAGCTTCCTCAGTATTGATTTTTCACTTTTCGCACTGGCTTTCAAATGCACAATAGATTTTGTTTCTTCATGGTTGGTTAAATTCCCTTTCAATGGGTTAATTAATTAGCTCACTATTTTCTTTTAATGTTGACTCAAACCCATGTTATTTAATTATCATGTTGAGATACATTTGAGTACATTACTTTATGATAACCTTGCACAGGTCATCTCTCTTACTATCTTACTATATCTATCTCCTGTGTTTGTGTCTCATTTTATATATCTTTTTTTGTTTTCCTAATCTTTTTGTTGGTGTGAGCATCTAACTTCATTTTGTCCTCCTGCAGTTTTATTTGGAAGAAGCAAAAGGGGGGGTTGACTATCAAGGTTATATTTTCCCACGAAGACGTGGAGAGATTGTAAGTGATTTCATTCTCACTTATGATTCTTCTGTTTTCTGAAAAAATGAAGAGTGAATTTGGAATCTTACACCAACTGCTCTAAACCCAATATGTAGAATTTTATTTTCTTTTCTTTTCCGTGTTTTGTCTGCAGTGATAGGGGGCATTACATCATATTCATTGCTATATAATTTCAATTCTTGAGAAATTGCATTATGAATATCCTTTTAACATTGGGAATGTGCTCCATTGTTTGGCTGCATGAGTTCACTATATGCCATTCTATTTGGGCCCAATTGGAATAGAGAATTTTCGTGTCATTATAATATGCAATTTTATGAATATTGCTTAGTGGTTATAACTATGAAAAATCTATATGATTAGTTTATAAAGAAAAGAGTGTAAAGCTTATGGAACTTGTCCAGGCCATATATAAAAACCGATGGATGTACAAGAGCCCCAGTTACGTTCATGTGCTGTTGTGCAGTAGATGAAGTATTATGTTTAAGAAATTCATGTAGCTTGATTGTCTATAAGTTCCAGGACACTAGTGTTTTATGCCAACCCAAGTAGTAAATGTAAAAAGTTGCATCATATATAATGGACTTGGGGGCCCTCTTACAGCAAGTGAACTTGATTATACATATTACATCTTGAATGAATACTATAATTCATGTTCATAGGGGAATTAGTTTGGATTTACGCCCGGTAGATCAATTATGGATGCAATATATTTACTAAGAAGATTAATAGAAAAGTACAAAGAGAAAATGAGAGATCTACATATGGTTTCTGTGGACTTGGAAAATGCTTATGATATGGTGCCTAGATATATAATATAGTGAGTTGTTAGAGAAACCAAGTGTGACCAAAAGGTCTATGGTGTGATATAAGACATGTATGATAGAGGTCTGGCTATAATTAAATCACACAGGAGAAACTAGTGAATTTTCAATTACTGTAGAATTGCATCAAGGGTCAGCTTTGAGTCTTCACCTATTTTCCTTAATTATGACTGAATTAACTAAACACACTTAGGATAATGTCCCATGGTGTATATTGTTCCCGAATGATATTGTTCTAGTAGATGAAAAAGGAATTAAATTAATACTAAGTTAGAAATCTGGAGATAACCACTCAAGTAAAAGTAAGTTTAAAATTAGAAATAAAACTGAATATTTGGAATGCGACTTTAGAAACAGTATTCACCCAAAAAAATCTTTATGCTGTGTTTGGTTGGGGGATTTGAAGAGGGATTTGGAAAGGGAAAAAGAAAAGTTAAGTGAAATATGAATAAAATATACTTACATTTCACATAGTTTCACACACCTTTTCCCTTTCCCTTTCCAAATCCCTCCCCAAATCCCCCAACCAAACACACCATTAGAAACAGTAGAAGTGGAAATTGGTTAGTTTGTTAACTTGATTTTCCCCACCTTACTTGGACAATGTATTAATGCCTCATGTATGCCTTACGTTAGCTTAAAGATAGGACTGTTTTCCCTGAGTCAATTGTATCTATCCATGTTGTTAAGTTTTTGTTACTTGTGTCAACCTGCAGCCTGACTCCGAGACTCAGTTGCTTACGATTCAGTTTGAATGGAATGGTGTTCTCAAATCTGTCTCCAGCACTTTGATCGGAGTGAGCCCAGAGTTTGAAATTGCCCTCTACACTCTGTGTTTCTACATGGGCAGGGAGGACAATCATGTTCAGTTGGGTCCATACCCTGTTAATGTCAAGTGCTATCGTTTAGGAAACAAAATCGGGTCTGCATTTCCAATCGCAGAGTGCTGATTCAAAGTAAGGTTACTTAGAATGTTTGACAAATGTTTTTTATTTAAGTCAATGGTGTTCAGATTTTACTTCACTGATTTGATCTTATAAAATATATGCAGATAAACCTTTCTACTTCCATAGTTTTTATGAGTCTTTTAACAGTTATCATGCATCTTTTGGAGTTCAACAGAATATATGGGTATCTTAATTGGTGTATTTCTTTCCTCAAGTTAGCCATCTGGCTTACGGACACCATAAAAAATAAAATAAAGTAGAAAGAGACGTGAAAAGGATGTGAGAGAGATGCTTCAAGTAGGGTTTGCTGTATTGTTGTAAATATCATGGGGCATTTCCCTAAATAAGTTAAAATAATAAATCAATTTCCAAACTAAGCCTAGTTTTGAAAGAATTCTCAAAATAAATTAATTCGCGGTTTACAATCGCGATTTCAACATATTTGCACCTATCTCGCGTGAAAGTTGGTAAATCTTAAATTCGTTGTTACAAAAAGCGCTTTTGATTAAGAAATCGCGGTTATAAAATGCGGTTTTAATTAATTTTTTTTTCTTCTGAACTCGCTGTTCTGAATCACGATTTTATCCAAAAAAAATTTTCTTCTGAATTCGCTGTTCCTAACCACGATTTTATGAAAAAAAAAATTTCTTCTGAACTCGCTGTTTCGAATCACGCTTTTAGACCAAAAACTTTTTCTGCTGAAATCGTGGTTGTGAACCACGATTTCAATACTGATTTGCCAACCACGCTTGGACCAACTGATGCCTGATGTAAAGTAAACACAGTTGGTCTAATAAAGTTATTTCATAAATAATAAAAAAATTCTAACAAATAAATTTTTAAAAATAAAAATAAAAATAAAATTCTAAAAATTTACGCTACCTTAGTGTTAGGGATAAAATTTATTTATTTTTATTTTAGAATAAAAATAAATAAATTTTAAGAATTAAACCCTAAATCCTAAAATAAAAAAAATAAAATTTATCCGTAAACACTAAGGTAGCATTTGGTAACGTTTACGTTTTTTGTTTATATTTATGAAAATTTTATAAACTAGTTTTTATTTATTTTTAGAAAAACATAAATTACAAACGAGTTTGGTTTGAACAAAATGTTTAAAATTTTTTATAAAATAATTATTGAAAGAAAATAATTATTTGAAAATTTTATCCCTAAACAATTATTTATCCCTAAACAAATAATTGAAAGAAAATTTTATAAAATAATTATTGTTTAAAATTTTTTTATAAAATTTAATTGAAAAAAATAATTATTTGAAAAAAAAATTAATTGGGAAAAAAAATATTTGAAAAAAAAATTAATAGAAAAAATAATTAATTGAAAAAAATAATTGAAAAAAGATTATTTGGTCTTAATTTCAAATAATTGAAAAAAAATAAGACCAAATAATTGAAATTAAGACCAAATATTTTTTTTCAATTAATTTTTGTTTCTTTTAGTTTTTTTTTTCAATTAATATTTTTTTTCAATTAAATTTTTTTGAAATATTTTTTTTCCCAATTAATTTTTTTTCAAATAATTATTTTTTCAATATTTTAAGCTTGAACAAACATATTTTTTATTTTACGTTTTTAAATTTTTTTAAACATTTTAAAACTAAACGCATTTAAATTTTATAAATTTTTTTAAACATTTTGTTTAAACCAAACTCGTTTGTGATTTATGTTTTTCTAAAAATAAATAAAAACTAATTTATAAAATTTTCATAAATATAAACAAAAAAAACGCTACCTTAGTATTTACGGATAAATTTTATTTTTTTATTTTAGGGTTTAGGGTTTAATTCTTAAAATTTATTTATTTTTATTTTAGTAAAATAAAAAAAATAAATTTTATCCCTAAACACTAAGGTAGCATAAATTTTTAGAATTTTATTTTTATTTTTATTTTTAGAAATTTATTTGTTCGACTTTTTTTTTTTATTTTATGAAATAACTTTATTAGACCAACTGTGTTTACTTTACTTTAGGCATCAGTTGGTCCAAGCGTGGTTGGGAAATCAGTATTGAAATCGTGGTTCACAACCACGATTTCAGCAGAAAAATTTTTTGGTCTAAAAGCGTGATTCGAAATAGCGAGTTCAGAAGAAATTTTATTTTCATAAAATCGTGGTTCAGAATAGCGAGTTCATAAGAAAAAAAAATAATTAAAATCGCGTTTTGTAACCGCGATTTCTTAATGAAAAGCGCTTTTTGTAACCACGAATTTAAGATTTACCAAGCCTCACGTGAGATAGGTGCAAATATGTTGAAATCGCGATTGTGAATCGCGAGTTAGCTTATTTTGGGAATTCTTTCAAAACTTGGCTTAGTTTGGGAATTGATTTATTATTTTAGCTTATTTAGGGAAATGGCCCTGGCTAGGGATAGGGGCGTAATAATGTCCGGCCCGGTTTATCAGGCCTAGCCTCGGGCCGACTTAAGTGGGCTTCGCAGATTCTTATTTTTAGTGGGTCGGTTTGGGCTGATTTATGAGTCGAAAAGTGAGGTATAGGTCCAAGTCCAGGCCTACCTAAGGCACTGTTTGGGAAGAGCTATTCTAGGTTTTTTTTGTTATTTTAGGTCAAGTTTGGCATCTACTAAATAATACAAAAAGTCACTATCCTATTTAAGTCACATCATTTTATTTAAATCACATCACCTCTCTAACACATCACATCAAACCCAACCCATATAAGCCAATAAGTCAAAAAGTGCATTTTTTTAGAACATCCCAAACCAACCCTTAGTCACAAAAAATAAAATAGGCTATTTTAGCTATAAAAAATAAAACATCACATCAAATCCATAATCATTACACTCTTCTCTCACAAAAAAATTCAAAAAAACCAAAAAGTCCTTCTCAAACCAAGTTTTTTAGCCTAGGTTAAAATAGCCAAAAAAACTAAAAAGTCAAAAAGCTAACCCATTTCCCAAACGGAGGCTTAGAATAGGATCTAAGCTTGGATCACGGCCGAGCTTAGGCAGGCTTTTTTTTTGAAAAAATTAACGATAAATACATTATTTATGTAAATTATTTATTACAGATAAAAAATAAAAGCAAAATTATATTAAAATATTTTAGTTAAAATTAATGAGATGTTTTGTTTAGTTATATTTTATTGTGGTATTTAAATTTAATTGTGTATGACTTATATTTTTTTAATTATGAACTTACAACTAAAAAAAGTATATAATTTTTTTCTTTTGAAATGAATAATTTTATATATATATAAATGAAATTTTTAATATTATAATATTTAATTAAATATATAACATTTATTGAATAAATAATTTTTATTTTAAAATAAAATAAAATATTACAAAAATTTATATCATTAAATAAAATAGGTATAGATTATTGATGATGGTAGAGCAATTGCATCACTATAGGTCAACTACATCCAACTACGTTGGCACTTACTGGCCTACCAATCATTTGCATTATACTCCACCTCAATAATCTAATACAAAAAAAATAACAAAATGAAATAGTAAAGAAAAATTGTTTATCAATCATCGTCAATTATTGGAGGAGAAAGACATTTTAGTCGCATTGTTCGATGATATTTCATCCAAATCATTTTGAATTCTCTCATTTTCACTATAATTTTGGTGGTGTTTGGGAACTTGGTTCCCAAATTTTTTTCTCATTTTTTCCACTAAAAGACAAAAGTTTTGCAAAACCAAAAAAAACAAATACAAACAAAATATCACATCTAACCCCATAATCATTTCACTTTTTCTCTCACAAACATCACATCCAACCACAAAAAAACCCAATTATCTTCCCAAACACTAAAAATTTTTTATCCAATAATATCCTACAACTAAAAAAACCTACATAAAAACCCACTTTCCAAACACCCACTTTGTTTTCTCGTAAGCTCATGCATATGATCTCTGGATATCATCAGTACCTCAACCATTTGGGATAAAAGCCTGCTGTGGTAATCGCTCAGCACCCGTCCACCTGCATTAAAAGGAATTTCCAAAGTAACTATAGAAATAGGAATGATTAGTACATCACGAGCCATCTATGAAAACACAGCCCACATAGTTTCATTTTGTTTCCACCAATCCAAAATGTCAAAATCATTGAAATCATCCATTGACGGGTTGTCCAAATAATACTGTAGTTCAGAACTTCTTACGCTTGTATGTTGAGATATTCTTCTACTTTTATTGCTGAAAAAACACTTAATCTCCCGCCTCGAGATGTGACTACTAGTGTAGTGTGTATAGATGTATTTATAGATGCAGTTGTCCTTTATTCTTCAAATAATTTGTTGCATGTTTACATAATAAGGGCAAACTATGTTTGATCAACGAAAATATGTTCTAAAAATTCTTGTAAACCAATTTCTTTACACCTAGGATCAATTATTATGGCTAAACCTAAAAGTTAAGGCAAATGAACAAAATATTTATCAAATTTTACTTTCATTGAAGTAATAATTGTTACATAATATACATTACCTATATATTTTACGAAAGCTTTAATTATTTCTGTTAACCTATGTAAAACAAATGGTGAAGTACGAATATATATATATATAAGAAAATAATTTTGTTAAAATATCAAAACTTTTTTAAAAATCTTTATACAAAGCTACTTAACGCTAGTTAAGTTCTATGGGAGTCAGTACTCCTCTTATTGATATTGTTGCAAAAAATAAGCCTATTGCTCTTCTTAGTTTACAAACTCTTTTTAACATATTATACGCTGAATTATACCTACAATTTATATCAAAAATTAATTTTTTAAATGGCATACTTTCTCGTTGACAAATTTTCCTATATTTTGAAATTCGATTAGCAGAATACATAATAGTAACAACTACATTTTTTATTACAAGTACAAAAGTCTCGTATACATACATAGCTTATTTAACAATCAAGTGTAAAATATGAGTACAATAACGAACATGAAATAAATTTCCATCAACAAGTAATTGTAAAGTTGATTTTAAATGAGTTACAATTTGATTACAATATACTGCATTATCTAAACTAATTGTAAATATTTTATTTTGTAAAGCACACTCATACAATACATTTCTTGTTTATACACCAAACGAATGACCAGTATATGGAAGTTTAACTAATTTAAATGAAATAATTATTTTATTTAATTTTCAATCATTATCAATAAAATGTGCAGTGATACATTGATTATTTAAACTATTATTTGACCACAGATCAGATATTAAACAAACTCTTTCATTTAATTTTTTAAAGATGTCAAATAATTCACTTTTAACATCCTCAAATTTCTTCAAAATCTTGTTTCTAGTAGGATTTCTTGAAAACTTTGATATTGCGGTGCAAAACTTTCGTAAATCATTTCGCCTTCGTTTGGCAACTTGGGTTGGGTTGGGTT